ATTTTTTTTTTTAAATTTAAAGTCCAAATATTAATAAATATCAATATACTAATTCTTTACCTCACGAATATTATTGATTCCGTATTTTATCATTGTGGGTCTTTCTAAGCTGGAAAAAAAAAATTTATATTAGATTGAATACGACAATATTTGCGTAATACAATAATATGCATATACCTTAAACCCCAAGCAATAACCCGAACGTCCGGATCCAATCCCATTGGTTCCAACATTTCCGGACGGAACATACCAGAATTTCCTATTTCCACCCATTTACCAAGACCTTTATTATACAATAATGATAAATTTTAGAAAGGTACCAATTAACAGGACTCATCCCATAAAAGTAAAAATTCTTGCCTTGGTGATACGAAAAGATCTCCATACTCGGTTCAGTGTATGGGTTATATGCAGGTTTAAAACGAAGGTTTTTTACCCCTATATAAATGTACGTTAAATCATAAATTTGGTAACATTGACAATAAATATTACTAACCCATTTTATTAAAAAAAGTGTTCATAAATCCAATCAAGTCCCCCAGCGTTAATCCTTTATCGGCAATAACACCTTCCACTTGGTGGAATTCGGCCAAATGAGTAGCATCCACAGTTTCGTTCCTGAAAACACGATCTATGGAGAAATATTTCACCGGTTTGAATTCTTTCTGTTTTGCAAGATTGTATAGCATGAACGATGATACTGCGGTGGTGTGTGTTCTTAAAATCAATTTTTGTGCTTCTTCAATTTTCCAGTCGTAACCATACCCAGTGGATCCATATCCACCAACAGAATGAACCTCCTTAACGCGTTCAAGATATTCAGTGGGGAATTGTGTGCAAATTGCAGGATCTACAAATAAATAAATCCGTTATTATTATTTGTGAACAATGAATAAAGATAATCATTAAAAATCATTAATATAATACCCTTTAAAAAGAAAGTATCGTGAGCATCACGGGCAGGATGTTGTTGAGGCTGAAAGAGAGAGTCAAAATTCCAGAAGGATGACTCAACAAATTTATTTGTTGGCATTTCTTCAAAACTATAGATGGTTACAATAAAGTTTATTTTTATTATTAATTACACTTTGCAAAATCATAATAATAAATAATAAAATACCCCATTTCAAAGAAAATTTGCCGAAATTCCTCGCGAACCTTCATTAGTGGATGTAAATGACCACCTGAAGGTGGTATACCAAGAGCATCAAAGTTATATTTTTTGAAATTTGCTTTTTTCCATTCACCACTATGCGAATATAGTCAATATTGAATAAGATCGGTCGAACGATAAACTAATTAAAACCTAAGTATACATTATACCCATTATACCTTTGAAGCATTTCAAATGTTACGTCTCGGGCTTGTTTCTCTATAGTCAATGAGAATTTTGGTCCTTTCGATACGGAATAAGAAATAACTTTACTAAATTAATCAGAAATGTATTAATTCAATAAAGAATGGGATAATATTATGTCAAAAAGAAAATTTAAAAAGCAACATGATTATATACTGTTTATCACAAAGTTTTCTTTTTCTCAATTCAGTCAGCACTTTTGGATCTGAATGTGTTCCAGTTGAACGAATCACTTCGAGATCAATTCGCGTTTGATCTATAATGGAATCAATCTTTAATGTAAAATGAAATCTTAGAAAGTTACATTATATCATCAAATAATATATGACATATTAAACCAGGTTTATAGACATACAGCGCGGACTAGATTGTCACCTTTCTTGGTAATCCATTTATTTTTGAAAGCCTTGCCCTGCCCAATTTTTGCAGTTTCGCCCAAAATTTCCTAAATATAGTTTTAAAAAATGTTTTAAAGTAGGTTAGGATGAAATTATATGCAGTGAGTATACATACATGTAATGCAGAGATGGCTATTCCCTCTTCACCAATCGGAATAGCATCGAAAACCTTGGCTTCGTGGCTTCCTTTATTAGCAATTTCATTCCCTTCATCTGTTAGCATCCATACTTCTTCTTCAATAGTTTCATATTTGACCATCTACAAAAAAACATCAAAAATTACATTCCATGAGGAAAAAACTGGTTTTAACGAAAAAAAAAACGAACCTCTTTGTCCACAATACTCAAACTCTTCAAGGCACCGAGTAATGCTAATTGATCTACCTCCTTGTTATCAGAGGCTACAAGATCTTTTGTGTTAGGAATTGTACCTCTTACATCGAGAGTTGTAAGAACTAGAGTTTGAAGTTCCTCTGTTGTACTCATGATTTTGAGTAAACCGTAATTTAAATTTAAATTTCTATTTATATATTTTTGAATTCCGATAACCAATTGATCCTTAGAAAAATGATCTTATGGATCATGGTAAATAAATAATATCATTTTATAGACATAACCAAAAGCTTATAACGAAATTGAGTTTTATTTCTAACGCTAATAATTATTTACAAATTACATCGATACATATACATGCGTATGCAAAAAAAAAGTCTTTAAAGTTATTTATCCACAAATCATGAATCTAAGAGATAGATTATCGAGACATTGTATATAAATCAAAGTTCCTTGCCACAAGACAAGATATTTCAATTAGATAAAATGACTACGTTAATGAGTTTCTATAGAATTTCCTTCTTAACAAACAATAGTCACCCCACTTCAGAGATCCCAATTTTTTCACAGCAGAATTATTATTTATCGTTTGAATAGGTAAATAACTAATCACCATCTTCATTCCTTGCCAAAATTTGGGTGGAAAATAAAATGCTCGCGAAAATCTATCAGAGTTTGCGGCATCTAAAAATGATTTACAAATTACTTCATTCCACTTATCAGTCTGAGTTACGTATCGTGGTTCATTTGCAGAAGCCTGTGTGTAATTCGTTTCTAGATCAACAATATAATCACATTGATCAATGTCAACCTATGAAGAAATAAATGAATGAGAGAATTTCAATCACATAAACAATAAGATGGAGAAAATAATAACATATATTTAAAGATCTCTCACTTACATAACGATCCATTTCTTCCTTATTAATATCATTGAATCCTTCTTGCAACATCCAAGTACCATCACGTTTGTAATTCATCTTTGTTCGACTCTCAGAGTCAATTTGTGTATCCTCCAAAAAGTATTTCGGTAATTGCCCATTGAAATCTGATTTCAAAAATCTCAGCCTAACACCATCTGGCAAAAAATAGTGACTCGGAAAGCGATACCATTCCTTCCCGATACAGAGATTTATTGGATTGTTGAGATTCAACTGAAGTTTCTGAGTTTCGACTTGTTGAGGAATTTCAACATAATAGAAATGTTTATAAATCGCCATTGGTGCATTATAGTGATAATAAAGTGCAAAAACGCGTGAAATAGAAATTAGACCCGAAATAAAAAAGATGCTAAATGTAAAACATTTTAAGTAGCATCGCCGATTAAACTGTTTTTTGATAAAATTGAACAATTAGATGAATACACAAACTAGCCAAAGATAATAAGCAAATTTACTTACAGCATATGGAATATTTTCTGACAGAGCTGAAAGAAATCGATCAATCCATCCTCTGACTAAAAATATTGCAATGGCGGCGTTTAGACACACTAAAGGATAGATTACAAATAAAAACCTTTCTTCCTTATGAGGTTGCACGATAAAAGTGAAAAGCCACACGTAAAAAGGCACGAGTCTGAAAGAAAGAAAAAAATAGGCATAAACAGAACCAGCTGTCGGTGAAGAGGAAATACGTCGATTGTCGACTAAAATAGTTACAAACTATAATATGTATGCAGTCAGATCCTCATTAATTAAAGGTTTAGAAAAACACTACAAATACGTACTAAACCAGGTAAACTAATGAGAGCCATTATGAACATGATGTTAAAATTCAAGAGGCCATTCACAATGTAATAGTGCCAAGGTTCAGTACCATAAACATCGGGGCCACGATCTTTTCCACCGAAAACATTGTATGCAATAATGTTCCACGGAACTATGTTAAATTTT